CCACAGACTTGCATTTTATTTGCCATAGCCTGTGTTCTGTTTTATCAGCCTCACTGTGACTAGCTTTCCACCGCTTAAAGGAATCCTTTTTACCTTTTACAGCTTCCATTACTTTGTTTGTTAACCATGTAGGCTTTTTCTTATACCTGTTTGTGCCTTTCCTAACCTGCGGAATATATTTTATTTGAGCTTCTAGAATTGTAGTTTTAAACAGTTTCCAAGCTTCCCCAATGGTTTTGACCCTTTCTACTTTTCCCTTCAGTTTCCTCCCCACATGTCCCCTCATATCAGAAAAATTACCCCTTTTAAAGTTAAAAGTGGTTGTGTGAGTCTTTTTGGCCAATTCCCTATTTGTACAAATGTTGAACTCAACAACATTATGATCACTGTTCCCAAGCGGTGCAATCACTTTTACATCTCTCACCAGGTCTTGAGTGTTACTTAGGACCAAATCAAGGATCGCCTCTCCCCTGGTAGGTTCCATGACCATCTGCTCCATAGCACAGTCATTTAGAGTGTCTAGAAACTCAATCTCTTTCTCTCGACTAGAACACATATTGACCCAATCAATGTGTGGGTAGTTAAAATCACCTATTACGACACAGTGTTTTTGTCTAGCTGCTATCTTTAATTCATTCATCATTTTATAATCCTCCTCTATCTTTTGATCCGGTGGGCGATAACAAACTCCCAGTGTTAAGTTTCCTTTTGGCCCCCCTATTTCAACCCACAGAACTTCAAGAAGCGAATCCAATTCTCTTAGCCTCTCGATCTTTCTGGACTTTATACCCTCTCTGACATACAGAGCCACCCCACCTCCAACCCTTCCCCCCCTATCCTTCCGATATAATATATAACCGGGAATCACCGTATCCCACTGATTTTCCTCATCCCACCAAGTTTCTGAAATACCCACAATGTCTATTTTTCCCTCTGACACCAAGCACTCCAACTCCCCGATTTTACCTCGGACACTTCGAGCATTTGTATAGAAACAGCTGTAATTTCCCATACTGGTTAAGCCTGCCACCTTCCTCTTGCAATCTCGAGACCTTGTCAGGCAGTCCATGTCACTAGCCATGGTCTCAGTGGACAATTTCAATCCACCTCCCTGTAGAAAAGCAACAGGTACCCCCTCATCTCTCTGAGATGAGCCAACCCGAACCAGAGACTTTTCATCTCCTGTCGGCTTTCCCCCAATATTCAGTTTAAAAACTGCTCTGCCACCTTTTTGATTTTAAGCGCCAGCAGCCTGGTTCCTTCTCGGGACAAGTGGAGACCGTCTCGCCTGTACAGCTCCCTCTTGTTCCAAAAAGAATCCCAGTGCCTAACAAACCTGAACCCTTCCCCTCTACACCATCGTCTCATCCACGCATTGAGACTCCTGATCTGTGCCTGTCTCTCCGGCCCTGCGCGTGGAACAGGTAGCACTTCTGAGAAGGCTACCTTGGAGGTCCTGGCCTTGAGTTTCCTGCCCAGCAGCCTAAATTTCTCCTCCAGGACCTCACGACTGCATTTCCCCACATCGTTGGTGCCGACATGCACCACGACCACTGGCTCCTCCCCAGCACTATCTACCAGCCTATCTAAAACACGCGTAATGTCCGCTACCTTTGCACCAGGCAGGCAAGTCACCATACGGTCAGTACGCGGGTTCGCCACCCAGCTGTCTACCTGCCTAAGGATCGAATCACCCACTACCAAGAGCCCCCCTCCCACCCTGCCCAGGGATGGTTCCTTGGTGCAAAAGGATAACCGCTCACCAGCTGGGGAAGAGGTCCCTTCTGAGGGCACATTCCCCTTATCCTCAGCACGGTGCCCTGTTTCCCCTAGACCCTCATGCTCCCTGACAGCAGCGGGGCTGCCAGATCCAGAGTGGGACGTAGCTAACAAGTCCCCGAGAGTCTTTTCTGTGCGCCTAGCTGACTGTCTCTGCTTCTCCAGGTCAGCCACCTTGGCCTCAAGGGAGCACACACGTTCCCTGAGAACCAGGAGCTCCTTGCACCGAGCACACACCCAAGACTTCTGCCCAGTGGGCAGATAGTCATACATGTGACACTCTGTGCAAAACACTGGATAGCCCCCAAGGTAGGTGCGGCTGAGAGAGCTCTGACAGAAACTGCTCTTTTTCAAGCACAGCTCTTATCAGAACTGTGGCTTGCCCAAGGTCATCCAGTAGGTGCAAGTGGAGGAGTGCGGAATCAAACCCGGTTCTCCCAAATTAGAGTCTGCGCACTGAACCACAACACCAACCACTGCTGAAAGGGTAGGAGCTGAGGCCAGAACGAGTCTTCCCCCATCCAAGAGAGCCCTCTGCACATCTTTATTATGTATTTATTTTATTCAATTTGTACCCCGCCCTTCTCGCCGAGGCAGGCTCAGGGTGGCTCACATAAAAATGCATATCTAAATACAATTAGAATCCATCATAAAATGTTTTTGTGCTTAATGATTAATGTTTAGGTTTATCTGTTCTGTATTGATATGGATCAAACACTTGAAACAGGATTTCAACTACGGTTGCCAAGTCCGTTTCTCTTTGCAGCGGGGGGCTCCTGGACGGTGTCCTGAGCGCGCTTTGCGCGCGCCGCATGCACGTCAGCCGGATGTGACGTGATGACACCGGGCACGCTGGGGGCGGGGCCACAGCCATCTGAGGGGAAAACATAGAGTGGGGGTGGGGTTCCCCCCCCCCGGGGCCCGATTCCGCGGCAGCGGAAATCGGGCCTCCAAAGCGGGGGATTATCCGCCCACCGGGGGGTCTTAGCAGCCCTAATTTCAACTAAAGGATTGTCACACAAAAAGTTCCTATTCTGTAGTAGGAATTTGTATTATTGAAGTTGATTTTCAGTGAGATTTATATTTGTAGGCAGTGTTATATGAAAAATGTATAAAGATTATATTAAAAAATTAAAATAAAAACAATCAAAAACCATAAACAAATCAGTTATCCTGAAGTACTGGAACAATATTCAGATAAAGTGCGAGAGCAGAGAATTTCACATTTAAACAATACTCCATAGGTGGTTCTAATGATGGTGTTTTTTGTGCCATCTGCTTATATATATGCAGCACAGGCGGTCTGAAGATGGTGAGGCCTGGGCACAGGGACACTCCTCGGTGTATGATGCGGCTCCTTAGTCGACTGTCTGGTGGAAGAGCTCTGTCTCGCAGGCCCTGCGGAACTGTAAGAGGTCCCGCATGGCCCTGATCTCTTCTGGGAGCTCGTTCGACCAGTACGGAACCGCCACCGAGAAGACCCTGGCCCTGGTTGTCGCCAACCTGACGTCTTTGCGACCTGGAAGGGCCAGACGGTTTTGGGCCCCTGAACTGAGCGCTCTCTGGGGAACATATGGGGAAAGGTGGTCCCTCAGGTATGCAGGACCCTGACCGTGTCCGAGGGAAGGGGATCATGGTGCAGATTCCACCTTTACAGACCGGTTTTCCATCTGTATGGAAGAACGTGGCATCGTGTGATCCCCCCCTCCCCCGGTCTCCATTCTAAAGTGGGGCAACCGAGTCGCAGGCCAGCCCACCTCGCTGTTGCTTGTGAGAACTGGGCCTTAAAGACTGGACCTCAAGGAGGTGCTACAGTATCATTCCTGTAAGGGAGATACTGTGGTTATCGTTCCAGAGGGCAGCCATGTTGGTCTGCAATAGGACAGCTGGATTTGAGTCCAGGCGCACCTGATAGACCAACAGGATTTGGGGGGGGTGTCTGCTTTTGAGATTCGGGGCTCCCTTGTCAGATACCTGACATCTCTAGGTCTCTGAGGAAGGGAACTTTCTGAGCTGTTCTACTGCGGTGGCTCAGAGGTTCAGACGCTGAGCTGCAGACCGGAAGGTCATTCGTTCGGCAGTTCAAGACCCGGGTGCCGCATGACGGAGTGAGCTCCCGTCTCTAGTTCCAGCTCCGGCCAACCTAGCAGTTTGAAAGCAAGAAATTGCAAGTAGATAAATAGGTACCACTTCGGTGGGAAGGCAACAGCGTTCCGTGCGCCTTGGTGTTTAGTCATGCCGGCCACATGACCACGGAAACGTCTTCGGACAGCGCTGGCTCTTCGGCTTGGAAATGGAGATGAGCACCGCATCCCTAGAGTCGGATTTGACTGGCTTTCGAGCAAGAGAAACCTTTACCTTGACTGCGCTTAGAGTTTGCATGCAGGCGTGTTCAAATTCCGAGGGTGCCAAGGTCACCGGAGACTTGATGCCCGTGTGTTCTTCACCTGTAACGCAAAGAGAGGCCGCTGCCTCTCTTGCAATGACGGCAGGTGAAACAGCAGCTCACAGCAGATCCTGTACCAAGGCCGAGTGTCAGATTACTAGAAATGAAGGAGACAGAGAGTGCATTTAGAGGCAGGCTGGGCCGAGGATGCCTCCGCTGCGCACACCTGTGCCCCCACTGCCTTGCCCACAAGCCCTGCAAAGCCCAAAGGGGAACGGGTTTGGCTTGGAGGAGGAGGAGATTGGGTTTATACCCCCTGGCCCTTCACTACCCAAAGGAGTCTCAGAGCGGCTTACAAACTCCTTTTCCCTTCCCCTCCCCACAACAGACACCCTGTGAGGTCGGTGGGGCTGAGAGAGCTCTTGACAGAAACGGCTCTTTTCCAAGAACAGCTCTGACAGAACTATGGCTTGCCCAAGGTCATCCAGCAGGTGCAAGTGGAAGAGTGGGGAATCAAACCCGGTTCTCCCAGATTAGAGTCCGCGCACTTCACCACTGCACCAAACCGGCTTGGTCTGTTGGCTTAGCTTCCCCGTGTAGCCAAAGGGACCCGAAGTGTGAGCTAGCTCGCAGTTTTTTTAGCCTCCGGCTCACACACTTTTGTCTCAGCTCAGGAAGGGATGGCTCCAGAGCCATCTAATTGATGCAGTCGCCAAACCACTGGCTCACAACTTCAATGCCGGCAGCTCACAAAGTAGGATTTTTGCTCTCAAGACTCCGTAGCTTCGAAGGCGCGTTGCCCGAGGCCCTCACCTAATCCCCGTCTCCTTTGCAGGAAGAGATGTCCGGAGAAACCGTGGTGAGCACAGCAGTGCCGGCAGCCGCCACCCGCACCACCTCCTTCAAAGGCGCCAGTCCGAGCTCCAAGTATGTGAAGCTGAACATTGGCGGGGCCCTCTACTACACCACCATGCAGACCCTGACCAAGCAGGACACCATGCTGAAGGCCATGTTCAGCGGCCGGATGGAGGTTCTCACGGACAGCGAAGGTAAGCTCCACCCCATTGGGAAGGGGCTGTGCGGCTCACAGAGGGACAGTGGAGAGGGGCTGTGGCTCAGGGGTTAGAGCCTCTGCTTGGCACGCAGAAGGTCCCGGGTTCAGTTCCCTGGGATCTCCGGTCGAAAGGACCAGGCAGGAGGTGATGAGAAAGGCCTCCGCCTGAGACCGTGGAGAGCTGTAAGGAGGGGCTGTGGCTCAGCGGCAGAGCCTCTGCTGGGCACGCAGAAGGTCCCGGGTTCAGTTCCCTGGGATCTCCGGTCGAAAGGACCAGGCAGGAGGTGATGAGAAAGGCCTCCGCCTGAGACCGTGGAGAGCTGTAAGGAGGGGCTGTGGCTCAGCGGCAGAGCCTCTGCTGGGCACGCAGAAGGTCCCGGGTTCAGTTCCCTGGGATCTCCGGTCGAAAGGACCAGGCAGGAGGTGATGAGAAAGGCCTCCGCCTGAGACCGTGGAGAGCTGTAAGGAGGGGCTGTGGCTCAGCGGCAGAGCCTCTGCTGGGCACGCAGAAGGTCCCGGGTTCAGTTCCCTGGGATCTCCGGTCGAAAGGACCAGGCAGGAGGTGATGAGAAAGGCCTCCGCCTGAGACCGTGGAGAGCTGTAAGGAGGGGCTGTGGCTCAGCGGCAGAGCCTCTGCTGGGCACGCAGAAGGTCCCGGGTTCAGTTCCCTGGGATCTCCGGTCGAAAGGACCAGGCAGGAGGTGATGAGAAAGGCCTCCGCCTGAGACCGTGGAGAGCTGTAAGGAGGGGCTGTGGCTCAGCGGCAGAGCCTCTGCTGGGCACGCAGAAGGTCCCGGGTTCAGTTCCCTGGGATCTCCGGTCGAAAGGACCAGGCAGGAGGTGATGAGAAAGGCCTCCGCCTGAGACCGTGGAGAGCTGTAAGGAGGGGCTGTGGCTCAGTGGTTAGACCATCTGTTTGGCATGCAGAAGGTCCCGGGTTCAGTTTACTGGGATCTCCAGTTGAAAGGTCCGGGCAGGAGTTGATGGGAAAGGCCTCCGCCCGAGACCTGGGAGAGCCGCTGCCAGTCTGAGTAGACAACTCTGACCTTGATGGACCGTGGGGGGTCTGATTTAGTAGGAGGTGGCGTCATGTGTTCATGTGAGACAGTCACTGAAGCCTCTCCACCAGGACCGTCGCTTGGAGGAGGAGTCCTGCCAAAGGCTCAGGTCACTGCAGGGCTGCTATGAGAGAAGCAGTCATGCAAAGTGGATTTGCTGGCAACGGGCAGGTGACTTCTGGGGTTTCAGCCGTCGGTGCTGGTGGCGGGGGGGGGGGACCCCTGCTGCTCAGCCCTTTGGCCTGTGGGGGCCCACAAGTGATTCCATCTTGTCCCATTACGCTCTTCAGCATTGACATGGAACTGCTGGGTGAGGTCATCTGGAGATTTGGGCTTGGTTCTCACCAATATATGGATCACACTCAGCTCCTTTATTTATTGATTTCTAGCCGCTGCGCCCCCCCCCCATGAAATGCCAGTGGTGAGCGAAAGGTCGGACTCGGGGATTGAAGGCATCACCCGTTCTGGGTGGGGTTCCCTCCCCGTGAGGGAAGAGGGGACCCTCTTGTGTTGCGGGAGAAGCAGGCGGCCGCTGAGTGTGGCCCGGAGTGCCTTTGGCCAGCTTCGACTGCTTAGCCAGCGGCAGCCTTCCCTGGGCAGGAAAGATCTGGCTGCTGTGGCGGTGCCGGCCCTGGTTCCGTCTAAATTAAACTACTGCAACGTGCTCTACGTGGGGCTGCCCTTGAAAAGTAATCAGAAGCTGCAGCTAGTGCAGAATGCTGCAGCCAGGATGTTGACCGGAGTGGGTCACGGGGACCACATCATTCTGGCCCATCTACGTCGGTGGCTCCCAGCCTGTTTCTGGCAGGGGTCATGTCATAGAAAAAGAGGTGCAGGGGCTCATTTGCATAACTCATTTGCATATGCCACACCCCCTGACAAAGTGCAGGCATGTTTAGAATGCCTCCAAAGCAGAAGGAAGCCGTCTGCTCCCAGACACTGCGGCGGGGCTTGTGCCACATCCCGTTTGGGCCCCACCGTAACGTGCACGGCCTGGAGAGCCAGCCTCTCCGATGCCATGAGCAGAAGGCCCCCCCCCCGTGCATTCTTTGGCCTTATTTGTCCAAAAAAAGAGAGTCTCCTGGCTGCGAGAGCGTTGCTCTTTTCGCCCCTCCTTTCCCCAAAGTGCATTCTTGTATCTCAGCCCATAAAACGGGCCTTTGCTTAGTTCATGGAAACTTGTGCCCCTCCCGCTGCTGTGTGAGACGACCTCTTCAGAGCGTCTCCGTTCAGCCCGCTGGAGATGAATGTGTGGCTGGCTCCTTGTTCAGAAACAAGATGTTCAGCTTCTCTGTTTTCTTCCCTGTCTCTTCTCAGTAAGAACATAAGAGAAGCAATAGCAGCCCTCCCACTCTTGTCCCCCCCCCAAGCACCAAGAAGCCAGAGCATCCCTTGCCTCAGACATGAGAACATAAGAGAAGCCAATGCTGGATCAGGCCAATGGCCCATCCAGTCCAACACTCTGTGTCACACAGTGGCCAAAAATACCAGGGGCCATCGGGAGGTCCATCAGTGGGGCCAGGACACCAGAAGCCTTCCCACTGTTGCCCCCCCCAAGCACCAAGAATACAGAGCATCCCTTGCCCCAGACTGAGAGTTCCTATCTCTACCTTGTGGCTCAGAGCCACTGATGGACCTCTGCTCCAGATGCTTATCCAATTCCCTCTTGAAGCCGTCCATGCTTGTAGCTGCCACCACCACCTCCTGTGGCAGTGAATTCCATGTGTTCATCACTCTTTGGGTGAAGGACTTCCTTTTATCTGTTCTAACCCGACTGCTCAGCAATTTCATGGAGTGCCCACGAGTTCTTGTATTGTGAGGAAGGGAGAAAAGGACTTCTTTCTCAGCCTGCTCTATCCCATGCATAATCTTATAAAGTTCAATCAGTAAATCACTGGACACTGTGCCAGCTCGCAGGAGCTTTCCTGTGCAGGATGCTAATTTCAAACACCCTTCGATAGTCATCTCTTTTGCATTTTTTTAAAATGCAGCTTACTGGAGAAATAAAGCTCTGCAGGCTTTCTTGCCAGAGCCGGGACTCTGGTCAAATCAGGAGACAGACCTAACAAATCGATGGGTCAGGAGCAAGGCCAGTGGTTTGCAAAAGTTCCAAGCCTGCTGGCACCCGCTTCCCAATTTGTGGCAGGTCCCCTGCTTTTGAAAGAAGGAAGGGGAGGCGTCGCGGTGGCGGTTTAAAGACTAATTTGTTCCTACATCAGCTTTCGTGAGTCAGAGCTCACTTCCTCAGATGCTCTGGAGTGTAAATCCCTTACACCACTGTGTATACAATAACAGCATTGGGGCGGGGGGGGGAAGGTGTTACAAGACAGCCCAGGTCAAAACAAAATGCAGTCTGGAGAATAACATGTTTACTTAGCATGGGTGGGAAAGACTCCCAAGTAGTGTCAGATAGGCAAAATGCAAAACCGGGGGCAGGCAGAACGAGGCAGACAGGCACAATAGGAAGTTACAAGGGGTATAGCTGAAGAAATTAACATCTGAAAGGAGCAGGCTATGCAGGATCCCTGGCACCTCCCCTGAGTGAGGAAGCCCACGTCCTCATTAAGCCCTCATGCATTGCCTTGAATGTAGGGTGTGCCTGTGAGAGAGAGAGAGAGAGGAAGAAGTTGCCATCTGGTTGTTTCCGACTTATGGTGACTCTCTGAATTAATATCCTCCAAAACATCCTCTTGTTCACAGCCCTGCTCAAGTCTTGCAAACGGAGGGCCTTTGTGGCTTCCTTAACTGAGTCTGCCCATCTCACCTTCTTCCTCTTTTCCTGCTGCTCTCCACTTCTCCCAGCATTACCGTCTTTTCTAGAGACTCCTGCAAGTGTTCCCTTTAAGCTGAGTGAGTGTGAGCTAGCGCCGTTTTTTAGCCTCCGGCTCACCCATTTTTGTCTCGGCTCAGGAAGGAGGGCTCCAGAGCAAACTAAGTTAGGCAGTAGCCACATGGCTCACTCACAACCTTTTAATGCCAGTGGCTCACAAGTTAGAATCTTGGCTCACAAGACTCCACAGCTTAGAGCAGTGGTGGCGAACCTATGGCACGGGTGCCAGAGGTGGCACTCAGAGCCCTCTCTGTGGGCACGCGTGCCATCGCCCCAGCCAGGCCCAGACCATCATTAAAGTGTCGAATTCCCTGCCAAATAATTTTAAGTAAATGAGAGCATTTGGGATTGCTTTCCTTACTTTGTTTGGATCATCTTAAGTTAATGTCTGAGTTGTTTTTTCTAAAGTAAAACCTCAGTATTCAGGTTAAATCACAGTGTTGGCACTTTGCGATAAATACGTGGGTTTTGAGTCGCAGTTTGGGCACTCGGCCTCTAAAAGTTTCGCCATCGCTGGCTTAGAGGGAGCCTTGCTCCTGTCTTCTCAGAACATGACCTGAGTATAATGGCCTCAGTTGGGTCACTTCAGCTTCTAGAGAGAGTTCAGGCTGGATCGGATCGAGCGGTCCAGGGTACCTATAAGCCCTCCTCCAACACCGCATTTCAAATGAATCGTCTCTGAATGTGTTAATGAATTCTAATCCAGCAACAGTCTAGAGAAACCCAGGCTCCTCAGAGCTTAGAAGCTAAGCAGGGCTGGCCCTGGTTAAAACTTGGAAGGGAGACCACCAGGGAATTCCAGGGTCACTGTGCAGAGGAAGACAGTGGCAACCCACCTCTGCTCATCCCTTGCCTTGAAAACCCCACCGTTGCCATGAGCGATGCTCCCTCTACGCTGTGGAGTAGGGATGTGCATTCGGTTCAGACCATTTGGGCTGGCCCATTTGGGCCCCTTTCGGGCCGCCGTGGGCTGATTCAGATTCTCTGATCTGAGTCGGCTTGCCGCCAAATTGCCGCCGAAATTCAGCCCCATTATATCCTATAGGCCATCAAAGTCAATGGCAAAAACATAGGGTATATTCTGGGGGTTTGAGGGAGAGGCTCCAAACTCACAGGGTAGCTGCTGGAGCCTCTCCCCAAGATACCCACCATGTTTCAAGAACATTGGACCAGGGGGTCCAATTCTACGGGCCCCCAAACAGGTTGTCCCCATTCCCTCCATTGTTCTCTATGATGGGGAAAAAAGGATATAATGGGGCTGAAATTGATTCTGCCCAATTCGGCCGAATCTGAATCAGGCTGAATTATTATTTTTTTGCACCCCCCTACTTGCGAGCAAAAATTCTACTTTGTGAGCTCCTGGCATTCAAGTTGCGAGCAAGCGATTGGGCTGCTGCATCAATTAGTTTGCTCTGGAGCCCTCCTCCCTGAGCTGAGACAAAAATGTGTGAGCCGGAGGCTAAAAAACTGAGCTAGCTCACGCTAACTCAGCTTAGAGGGAACACTGGCCATGAGTCATTTGCAGCTCGCCACATCACATAATTATATTAATTTCATGTTTCATTATCCCTTTGAAGCGCCTTTGTAAAGAGATCCAGATCAACAACACCTGGAAGATTTTTTAAAAAAGAAACTTTTCACCTCTGTCTTCTTCATGCCTGCTCACCTGGAGGAGATTCCCACTCGGGCCAGGTGACCAGAGAGGTGGCTGCTGGCGGGTCTGTCCAGGGTTGTATTTCCCCAACTTGGGTCTTGTATCTCCACTGGCAAAGGCTGCGGGTCCTTCCTTGTCCTCCTCCCCGCCTGGCTCCCGCATAGCCTCTTCTCCCCCACACAACTTCATTCCCGGGGACTGGGGTGGCCTCCTGCCTCCCAGCAACCCCTACGAGGTGTTTTGGAACCCCGGGGCAGTGCTTGTTTTGGGCAGCGACTCTGCCCCTGGGCACCCATCCCCGTCTTCCTCTCCCCTGAGTGAGCGAGCCCTTTCTGCTTCTGTCTAGGCTGGATTTTGATAGACCGCTGCGGCAAGCATTTCGGAACCATCTTGAACTACCTGCGCGACGGTGCCGTGCCACTCCCGGAGAGCCGGCGGGAGATCGAAGAGCTGTTGGCGGAGGCAAAGTATTACCTGGTGCAGGGCCTGGTGGACGAGTGCCAGGCCGCCCTACAGGTAGGCACACGACAGGTCTCCCACGGAGGCATCGGTGGCAATGGGCCGGGCCTGACCTGCTGGCTTTGAGCAGAGAGCTTCAAGCCTCCCCCCCCCCCAACGGCCGTCAGGATGCGTCATAAGAACCTAAGAGAAGCCAGTGTTGGATCAGGCCAGTGGCCCATCCAGTCCAGTGTTCTGTCACACAGTGGCCAAAAATACCAGGTGCCATCAGGAGGTCCAGCAGTGGGGCCAGGACACCAGAAGCCCTCCCACTGTTGACCCCCCCCCAAGCACCAAGAATACAGAGCATCACTTGCCCCAGCCTGAGAGTTCCTATCTGTACCTTGTGGCTAATAGCCACTGGTGGACCTCTGCTCAATATATTTATCCAATTCCCTCTTGAAGCCGTCCATGCTTGTAGCCGCCACCACCTCCTCCTGTGGCAGTGAATTCCATGTGTTCATCACTCTTTGGGTGAAGAAGGACTTCCTTTTATCCATTCTAACCCGACCGCTCAGCAATTTCATGGAGTGCCCACGAGTTCTTGTCTTGTGAGAGAGGGAGAAAAGTGCCTCTTTCTCTACCTGCTCCATCCCATGCATAATCTTATAAACCTCAATCATGTCACCCCTCAGCCGTCGTTTCTCCAAGCTGAAGAGCCCCAAGCACTTTAACCTTTCTTCATAGGGAAGTCACAAGCCCTTGGGGTCTTAGCAGGCCCCATGTTTGCTGAGAGGGCAGGGGAGGGAGCCGTGAGCCTCTGGCTGCTGACATGGGGGGGGGAGGCGTCTGTGTTTGCATTAACACACCAAAGCGGTCTCTACTCTCTAGCGGGGGAACAAGTGGCAGTTTTGTTGGTTGTCCAAAAGCAACCACAGGCTCTGCCGTGACTTGGGTTCCCAACTTCCAGGTGGATCTGCTGGAAGTCCAGCCGCTCTCCAGATGACAAGAGATCAGTTCCCCTGGCGAAAAGGCTGCTTTTGGGGGGTGGAGGGATGGATTCCATGGCATTACACCCCGCTGAGCTCCCTCCCTGTACTCCACTCTCCCCAGTCTCTACCCCCCAAATCTCCAGGCACGTCCCAACCCCGAACTGGCAGCCTCGGCCCACTTTCTGGCCCCTGACTGGTGCTCTCATTCCAGCAGAACAAAGACGTCTACGAGCCCTTCTGCAAAGTGCCCATCATCACGTCCTCCAAAGAAGAGCAGAAACTGATTGCGACGTCCATCAAGGTAAGCAGGCCTGGCGGGCTTCATACCGGGGGGGGCCTCACCGGTTCGACTGGACAGCTGCCCCTGCCCCTCTCCCCCCCAGCCTTGTCCCTTCCCCCTGCACTGAGCCTCGTTCTCACCGTGCCACCCCCAGCCGGAGAACTGGCCCCCTCAACCCCCTCCCCTGGGGGCTTTGGGCCGACCCCAACGCTCCGGGAGGGCTTTCCATCAAGCGGGGCTGCTGGCCCGAGCACTCAGCCAACCTGTTTCCCTGCAGCCGGCGGTCAAGTTGCTGTACAACCGAAGCAACAACAAGTATTCCTACACCAGGTAAAATATGTCTTCATTTGCCCTTGGGAAGTCAATCCCTTTGACGGGGGTGGGGGGGGTGTTTGCATGTAATGTGGAGCCCCCAAGGTGCGGCAGTCAGAACGTCCCACTGAGATCTGGCAGACCTCCCCCCCATTCAAGCCCACCCCCACGAAGCCATGAAGCTCAGGCAGCCACTCATCCGCCCTCATCTACCTCACAAGGTTGTTTTGCAGAGTATGTGGGCGGGAAGCTGCCGCGGAAACCACCCGAAGCTCCTTAGCGGAAGGCGATCAAAAAACAAACACGGAAAACATAGCCAAAAAACAAAAATAACTGTGTACAGAAATGTCAAAAATACTTGTAGTATTTAATACTTGTAGTATTTGTGGTATTTAAATACTTGTAGTATAAAATGCTTTTTATATAAAGTGTCACAAAGAACGTATGATTACAACAATATTATGAAAATACTCCCAGCAGAGCCCTTCTGCAAAGTGCCCATCGTCACATCCTCCAAAGAAGAGCAGAAGGCCTCGTAGACGTCTTTGTTCTGCTGGAATGAATATACACAGTACAGAATAGCCAAAAAACAAAAATAACTGTGTACAGAAATGTCAAAAATACTTGTTGTATTTAATACTTGTACTTATAGTATTTGTAGTATACTTGCAGTATAAAAATACTTTTTATATAAAGTGTCACAAAGAACTTACGATTACAACAATATTATGACAATACTTTCTTCAAATAGTTTAAACCACTCAGTTCATGAAAACAGTCCAAAGTAATCCAAAACAAATAGAGGGGCTTCAGATAAAGACCATTAGGACGTAGACACTTTTAGAGCCCGATGTCTTCAGGGATCTGTTCACATCATACTTGTGTCATAAGGTGTCGGTTCAAGGCTTGCCGCTACGCGTTTGCCGGCTTCCTAATCGCGTATCACTCAAGGCTTTTTCAAAAGCCAAGCCAAGAGTCTCCCAGTCTACTTTAGAATAACGCCTTCAATGGGGACCTCCATCTCCCATGTCAACAATAAAGATAAAGAAGCGTTTCTTTGTGACACTTTATATAAAAAGTATTCCACAAAGAATTTTGACATTTTTGTGCACACTTATTTTTGGTTTTTGGCCTTAGCGGGAGGGGAGCAGAAAAACTGTACCACTGGGTGACGAGAGGAGAGGGGGGTTTGGCCTGGATGGGAACTCCAGGCAGAGGAAAGGGATGAAGCGGTTGAGGGAGGAACGTAGAGACCTGCAAACTTGTTGAACTCCGTGCCGGGGCTTTAACCTGGATGCTGCACTCAAAAGTGCTTTCTCTGGCAGTGGAGCTGGAGAGGGATTCTTTGGGTGCTTGACTGGGAAGGAGGGGACACGGAGCAGCTTCCTTCTCTCTAGGATAAGTCCCAAAGGGCAGCCGTGTCAGTCTGCAATAGAAGTGCTGGGTTCGAGTCCAGCGGGCACCTGAGAGCAGAGTTCCCTCTAAGCTGAGTTAGTGTGAGCTCGCTCACAGTTTTGTAGCCTCCGGCTCACCCATTTTTGTCTCAGCTCGGGAAGGGATGGCTCCAGAGCAAACTAATTGATGCAGCAGCCAGATCGCTCGCTCACAACTTAAATGCCATCAGCTCGCAAAGTAGAATTTTTACTCACAGGACCCCACAGCTTAGAAGGGAGCATTGCAGCCAGTGTTCCCTCTGAGCTGAGTTGGGTGTGAGCTCGCTCACGGTTTTTTAGCCTCCGGCTCACACATTTTTCTCTCAGCTCGAGAAGGATGGCCCCAGAGCAAAGTAGTTTATGCAGCCACCAAATCGCTCACTCGCAACTTTAATGCCAGGAGCTCACAAGGTAGATTTTTTGCTCACAAGGCTCCACGGCTTAGAGGGAGCATCGCCTGAGAGACCAACAAGAGTTTTGGGGTGGGAGCTTCTGAGAGTCGAAGCTGTCTGGATGAAGGGGCTTTGGCTCTCAAAGGCTTCTGCACACACACACACCCAAATCGTGTTGGTGTCTGAGGCTCTGTGGGTGGGACTCCAGCCTAGCTGTTCTCTGGAGGGACATGGAGGAGGGGGCCTGCTGGCGCTCCAACGCAAGGGCCACGATCCAAGCAAAGGGGGATCCGGGAGCTGCAGCCTTCCCATTGCCAGTGTGGGAGGCCCTTTGTGCGCTCAGCTGACCAATACTCGGTGCCACCCCCGGTTAAAGAAGGTCTCGGCTGTTGTCTTTGGGCGGGGGGGCACGGCTGGACATGCGGAGCAGAGCACACTGCCTTGCCCCGCCCTGTCGTGGCGCTCCTTGGCCCTCCGAGCGCCCCGCTGGATTGCATAACCCTTCCCCCTTCCGGCTTCCCGCAGCAATTCCGACGACAACATGCTGAAAAACATTGAGCTCTTTGACAAGCTGTCGCTGCGGTTCAACGGGCGGGTCCTCTTCATCAAGGACGTCATCGGGGACGAGATCTGCTGCTGGTCTTTCTACGGGCAGGGGCGCAAGATCGCGGAAGTCTGCTGCACCTCCATCGTGTACGCCACCGAGAAGAAGCAGACCAAGGTGGGCTTTCCGGCTAGTTTCCCTTCCTGCCTCCGCCCTGCTCTGTGCGGCTGCTGAAAACCCAAGCATCGCCTGGGGCCACCTGAGCACTGACCGGTCCAAAGGCACTTGGAGAACTGGCCTGCAGGCGCAGAAAGTCAGGAGAAGACCGTAGACAAGTCCCTGCCCCAAAGAGTTTGCATAAGAGAAGCCAATGTTGGATCAGGCCAGTGGCCCATCCAGCCCAACACTCTGTCACACAGTGGCTAGAAATACCAGGGGCCCTCTGGAGGTCCAGCAGTGGGGCCAGGACATGAGAAGCCTTCCCACTGTTGCCCCCCCCCAAGCACTGAGAATACAGAGCATCCCTTGCCCCAGACTGAGGGTTCCTGGAGAGCCAGTTTGGTGTAGTGGTTAAGTGCACGAACTCTAATCTGGGAGAACCGGGTTTGATTCCCCACTCCTCCACTTGCACCTGCTGATGTGACCTTGGGTCAGTCACAAGCTCTGGCACAGCTGTCCTTGAAAACGAGCAGTTTGTGTCAGAGTTCTCTCAGCCCCACCCACCTCACAGGGTGTCTGTTGTGGGGAGGGGAAGGGAAAGGAGTTTGTAAGCCGTATAAATCCAATCTCTTCTTCTCTTCTTCTTCTTCTATCTAGTGGCTAATAGCCACTGATGGGCCTCTGCTCCTTATGTTTATCCAATTCCCTCTTATAAGAACATAAGAGAAGAAGAAGAAGAAAAAGAAGCAGAGATTGGATGTATACCCCGCCCTTCACTACCCAAGGGAGTCTCAGAGCAGCTTACAAACTCCTTTCCCCCCCCTCCCCACAACAGACACCCTGTGAGGTAGGCGGGACTGAGAGAGCTCTGACGGAAACTGCTCCTTTTCAAGAACAGCTGTGCCAGAACTACGTCTTGCCCAAGGTCATCCAGCAGCTGCGAGTGGAGGAAAGGGTTCTCCCAGATTAGAGTCTGCTCACTTAACCACGGCACCAAACTGGCTCCAGTGTTGGATCAGGCCAGTGGCCCCTCCAGTCCAACACTCTGTCACCCAGTGGCCAGAAATACCAGGTGTCCTCAGGAGGTCCACCAGTGGGGTTGTCTGACTTGGGGGAGGGCAGGAGGGAAGCGGGCAGCCAAGGCACAGAGAGGCCAAATTGTGCCGGAGCCAGAAAAGTGGACAGAGGGGGTGGAAGAAAAGACCTATCAGGGCAGGAGAGCAGAGGGCCCCACCCGGGTGATCTTCCACATTGGAGCGTCACCGTTAGGGGTCCGAAGGGCGCGTGGCCGGGGCTCCACCAGAGAGCAAGAGACCTTCAAGAACCAGAGATGGAGCCACAGGGGGGCACAGCCAGGGTGGGAACCCCAGCTGAGAGGAAGGGCAGGGGGAAGGCTGTGGGGAACAGGAGGCGGAGGAAGAAGCCGCTTGTGCTGGACACTGTGGGCTTGGGGGCTCATCCTGGATCTGCGTGTGAACCCATGAAGTGGCCTTATGGCGCCTGCTCCAGTCCTGCTCCAAAGCTCTGGCTAGCTCTGAGAGCCAGTTTGGTGTTGTGGTTAAGTGCGCGGACTCTAATTTGGGAGAGCCGGGTTTGATTCCCCACTCCTCCACTCGCACCTGGCTGGATGACCTTGGGCCAGTCACAAGTTCTCTCAGAGCTGTCCTTGAAAAAGAGCAGTTTCTGTCAGAGCACTCTAAGCCTCACCTAACCTCCCAGGGTGTCTGTGGTGGGGAGGGGAAGGGAAAGGAGTTTGTCAGCCGCTCTGAGACTCCGAGTGGAGGGCGGGGTATAAATCCAATCTCTTATCCTCCTCCTCCTCTCTCATGCTTTGCCCAGGTGCCCAGACTTTGGCATGTCTCCGGGGCCAGAGACTTGCCCATTTGGCGTGCAGCCACACACAAAAAAAACACCATGTACAGGCCTTGGTTGAGTTGAGGGGAGGGGCCGTGGCTCAGGGGCAGACCTTCTGCTCCGCACGGGGAAGGTCCCATGTTCCTTCTCCAGCATCTCCAGCTAAAGGGTCAGGCGGCAGGCGACATGAAAGACCTCCGCCTGAGACCCTGGAGAACCACTGCCAGTCTGAGTAGACAAGACTGACCGTCGGTGGGCTGGTTCAACGTCAGGCAGCTTCTCTTGAGGTTCGAAGGGTGGAAAGCAGAGCGGGGAGCGTCGTCTTCTTCTTCTTCTTTTTAATTAATATTTTATTGAATTTTTCACAAAGTATAATCAAGTCACCTTATAATTTGACATTAAATACAGAACATCGAACATAAACAGTATGCTAACTTATCATGTAAAGGTGTAAAACATGGGCAAAGATTCAACATCTGCGAGCTATGTGCAATAGAAATCAGAGTAACCAAACATCAGTCTTGTGAGTATGTAATAACTTGGTGTATCTTAGAGAGACATCCTAGCCAGAACATGTGGGTGGTCAGGGTAATCTCTGTTATACTCCTAATATGTAGATTAAACCTATTGAGAAGCTCAGTATTTACAAGCATTCATGATACTGAGACCAAAATGTGGGAACAAATTCTTCTTTAGTGAGAAAGTCTAGAATGGGACTCCACTTTTCCATGAATTTAGTGGAGATCGGCCGAAGAGGGGAGCGTCTTCTAACCTCCGTCGATTTGGGGTCCCCAGGTTGAGTTCCCAGAAGCCCGGATTTACGAGGAGACGTTGAACATCCTGCTTTACGAAGCCCAGGACGGGCGAGGGCCGGACAACGCGCTGCTGGAGGCCACTGGGGGGGCCGCCGGCCGCTCCCACCACCTGGAGGAGGACGAGGAGCGAGAGCGCATCGATCGGGTCCGCAGGATTCACATCAAGCGCCCAGACGACCGGGCTCACCTCCACCAGTGAAGGCGGCCCCGCTCGGCTCCGGGTCCAGAAATCTCCGTCCAGCCTCCTAACTTATATCCCGCGAGACCCTCTCAACTGTTACTTTAAAAAACGAGTTTTAAGAGTATTTGACAAAGTAGTTCTGTCGTTAAAGTCCAGGAGGTGTCCAGCCTCCCTGCGGCCCTGAGGTTCCAGTCAACACTTCTTAAAATCCAGCTGGCTTCACCTCGGAGAAAGGAGGCGTCCCTGTCTGGTGCTCGACAGCTGGGTTCTACGGAGGTGCTGCTGCTGCTGATTCGCCCGGCAGTCCAGTGTTCGAGGAGGAGGGGGCCGCTCTGCTGCAGACCGAGACTACCCTCTCTTCCAAAAAGGTTTCGTGTAAGAAAGGAAGGGCGTCTTACTCTGATGAAATCTGCGGCAGACTCTGGCTTCTTTGCTTGACGCGAGAGCCATGTTTCCCTTTCCTTGGAGTCAAGCCCAGTCGAGTTCTTCTCCTTTGGGGTGCTGGATTTCTTCTAATAGAAGGGTCAGGAGCCGGGGAGTGGTCAAGGTTTGTTTCAGCGAAGAAGCCAGCGGGCCTCAGCCACAAGGGCTTGAGAAAGCCGCAGCTCTGCCCAACTCTCAACTTTCCTCGCTTCTCTTTCTCCTCCTATTTCCCATTTGGGGGGGGTCCCCACGTGACCCCCACCACGTTGCCTTAAGCCCTCCCCTCTCCACCCGCTAACCGTCGGCCGAATCTCCTGCCGTGTGCTTGTGTGTGTCTGTGTCCATCTGAGGGACGCTGTTTCCTATTCTAGGCAGACTTAAAATTATCCAGTTTGCCACACGCAGCTGCAGTCAGGCAAGCCCTGCTCATTTCGGCGGTGGCAGCAGCCCATGTCTTGAGAGCCAGTGTGGTGTCGTGGTGAAGTGCGTGGACTTGAATCTGGGAGAACCGGGTTTGAGTCCCCACTCCTCCACTTGCAGCACCTGGATGACCTTGGGCGAGCCATAGTCCTGTCAGAGCTGTCCTTGAAAAAGAGCAGTTTCTGTCAGAGCTCTCTCAGCCCCACCTACCTCCCAGGCAGTGTTCCCTCTAAGCTGAGTGAGTGTGAGCTAGCTCACAGTTTTTTAGCCTCCGGCTCACAGATTTTTCTCTTAGCTCAGGGAGGATGGCTCCCGAGCAGACTCATTTATGAAGGAGCCATATCGCTCGCTCACAGCTTTAAGGCCAGTAGCTCACAAAGTAGAATTTCTGCTCACAAGACTCCACAGCTTAGAGGGAACATTGCAGGGTGTCTGTTGTGGGGAGGGGAGGGGAAAGGAGTTTGGAAGCCGCTCTGAGAGTCCCTTGGGTAGTGAAGGGCGGGGTATAAATCCAATCTCCTCCTCCTCTTCTTCTTGATGCGGATTCATATACGAGCTGCCCTCGCAGAGTTTTGGGGTTGTGTTGATACTCCCTAGCCGATGGAGGGGATGACGACTCCTCATCTCCTCTCCTCCAGTGAAAGCCTTTGGGAGAGCCGGTTTGCGGGGGGGGGGCTATTCTGACTCTAAGCCCCACTGCGCCATCTCCATGTGGGGTGCAGGCTGCCAGGGGCCTGCTGAGCCCAGGGTCCCCCTTTCCTATCTCACGTAGGCTCTGCCTGCTGAGAGCACCGTCCAGTACGTAGAAGAGGTTGGGGACTGGGCAGAATGGTTGAGAGTCCTGGGCGGGGGGGGGGGATTGCTTAATCTCCCTCTCAAAGTAGAGGCAGCCCCGTGGGTCGTCCAAGATCCTGTTGGCAGGCACCCCAAAGATTAAGGTGTGAGCTGTTGGCATGAAGACACTCGAAAGAAGAAGCGTCCACTCCAAAGCGTTGGAGGCGCTGCGCACCAAAAAGACAGCTTTCGCCAATTTCCCTCCCCGTCTTGGACACCTATCTTCTGGTTTGCACAGGCCCAGAATGTGGGGGGGGGGGGGGGGGCTTTGATATTGCCCCTTTGTCATACCTGTTCCTTGTGCACCTGAAGCTGTCGAAGCCTCTGATAGACAAAGGTGTGTGATGTGCAGTTCCCTCTGCCGTGCCCTTTCTCGGAGGCTGGGGTCTCAACATGCCCCCGGGTTTCACTGGCAACGTTTACCCGCCGCTCTGCCCTCTATAGCTTGGCCTGGCTTTTGGCCGCCTCTGCATGTTTCTCCCAGCGGCCACCTCTGTGCTCTCCCTCCTGTCTGTCTCAGGCCCAGCGTTCCCACAAGCTTGGCCTCTTTCTTAGTATGCCGTAGACGGTTTCAGCATGTAGAATTTTTCTAGCAAGGTCATGATGGGTTTGTGCAAGAGGAAAGGGGAAGAAGGCATAAGAGAGCCCGTTTGGTGTCGTGGTTAAGTGCGCGGACTCTAATCTGGGAGAACCGGGTTTGATTCCCCACTCCTCCTCCACTCGCAGCTGTTGGATGACCTTAAGGAAGCCGTAGTTCTCTCAGAGCTGTTCACTCTGTCAAGAGCTCTCTCAGCCCCACTGGGTGTCTGTTGTGGGAAGGGGAAGGGAAAGGAGTTTGTAAGTCGCTCTGAGACTCCCAGTGAAGGGCAGGCTATACATCCAATCTCCTCCTTCTCCTAAGTAGGAAGGGAAAGGAGAGAAAACTTGGGAGGAGGGGGAGCTTAGGCACAGGGAAGCTATAGCCCCAGCAGTGCTTGCGTGGGGTTTGAAAAGCCTCCTCCCCCCCCCCACAGGAGGGAAATGCTGCAGCATCGTCTTTGCTGTCAAAGGAGTCCTCTTTGCCAGAGGATCCAGCAGCCGGCCAGCACGAGTCTGCCCCATTTTAGGACTGCATCGCCCCCGAATCTGCATCCAACCCATTCCGTCAGCTTGCTTGGGTGTCCCACGCCTAGAATATTTGCAAAGAGGCGGCAGAGGAAGGGGTGGGGTGCAGCCCTTTTCCTGGCTCTGTTCTGCTCAGGGGAGGGGAGGGGCTGTTTGCTCAGGATCAAGAATGTGCCTAAAGGAAGTGCAGCCTCTGGCTGTCGAGGACACAAGCCATGCAAGGGGGGGGGACGTGGGGCCAGCCTCAAAAGGGCGGGGAGCACAGCGTGTAAGCAGGTATCGAGCTAGTATGGGCTCTCTCTCTCTTTCTCGGAGAGCCAGTTTGGTGTAGTGGTTAAAGTGCGCGGACGCTAATCTGGGAGAACCGGGTTTGATTCCCCACTTCTTCACTTGCAGCTGCTGGATGACCTTGGGCAAGCCGTAGTTCTGACAAGAGCTGTCCTTGAAAAAGAGCAGTTTCTGTCAAGAGCTCTCTCAGCCCCACCCGCCTCCCAGGGTGTCTGTCTGTTGTGGGAAGGGGAAGGGAAAGGAGTTTGTCAGCCACTCTGAGTAGTGAAGGGCAGAGTATAAATCCAATCTTCTCCTCCTCCTCCTCCCTCCTCTCTTCTCTGTCCTTACAGGGGGGGCGGGGGTCACTTATAGTGGTATGAGTCAACAGACTTACAAGGCAGGCTGCTTCATGCACTCGGTGAAAAAGGAAAGGCGGCCTGCACAGGCGCTGCTGCCTTCTGTCCCACCTAAGTTTACCCTCACAGCTCCTATGTCAGGGAGCTTACATCCGAAAAGAGTGGAGGGACGCCTCCCCCCGGCCTGCTCTGCCACTGCAAAACATTTCCAGTGGGGCCACTGCGGAACCTCAGCCGTCCTCGACTTCTACTCACAAAAACAGCTGCAATCTCCCAGATGCTTCTGGTTGGAGCCCAGAAAGTTGGCAAGTGGTTGGCACACCAGGTGGGGCCCGCCGACTGGGTCAGTGGCCCTGGGCTGCCACGGAAGAGCCCCGTCGCCCCAATAGGAGACCGCTCCTTGCGCCTTCTGCCTCCTGGCCGCTGCTGCTGGCACTGAGAGGTCCGTAGGGGAGGGACCCGGACATGTTCATTTTCTTGCAGGCATTCCTAGTGTTGGCTGAGTGTGCTGCAGAGATGGGGATTGGGGAGGGGGTGTTTGTGTGCACTGATTCAGCAGCCCCCCCCCCAGATTTAAGGCCACAAACTGTCCCTGCACATGCATGGCCCCGGGGGAGACCCCTGCCTCCCCAGAAGTGCAGAGGGCCACCTCCCGTCCTCTCCCCCACGTGCTGGGCCACACCCCGGGGTGGGGGGCACAACATTCCAGCTGCTCAAGGTTACCACGGCAGTAACCCCCGCCTCTTTCCAGTGTGTAGAACCAATGATGGCTTATTCTTATGTGTGTGTGTGTGTGTGTGTGTCAGTGTTTCACACCGATCTGGGAAGGGAGAAAATAAACGAGAAACTTTTCTTATTTAAATGTGCCTCTGCGCTTCCTTGAAAGGAGCTCCCCGTTTGCTTTCTCCTGCATCGTTTCAGCGGCCAAGGCAAAGGGGTCATTTACCAGTGTTCCCTCTCAGCTGAGTGAGTGTGAACTAGCTCACAGTGTTTTAGCCTCCGGCTCACACTTCTTTTGGGTCTCAGCTCAGGAAGGATGGCTCCAGGGCAGACTCATTGATGCAGGAGCCAAATCGCTCGCTCACAACTTTAGCGCCAGGAGCTCACAGAGTAGAGTTTTTGCTCACAAGACTCCGCAGCGCAGAGGGAGCGTGGCACATTCCTTGCAGGGTGTGGCCCTGCGATCACGGCAGGACAGCATGGCCTCCTTAATCTGGAGCAGGATGCTCTGTTTTTCGGCCAGTCGAGAGCACCAGCAGCCAGCTCCAAATTCTCTTGTCTCACTAACCTGTTAATGTTCTTTGAGGGGGTGAACAAACATGTGGACAAGGGGGATCCAATAGATATTGTTTACCTTGACTTCCAGAAAGCTTTTGATAAAGTTCCTCATCAAAGGCTCCTAAGTAAGCTCAAAAATCATGGGATAAAAGGACAAGTCCTTTTATGGATCAAAAACTGGCTAATTAATAGAAAACAGAGAGTGAGTATAAATGGGCAGTTCTCCCAGTGGAGGGGGGTAAGCAGTGGGGTAGCACAGGGATCAGTACTTGGTCCACTGCTTTTTAACTTGTTCATTAATGATTTGGAGTTGGGAGTAAGCAGTGAAGTGGCTAAATTTGCGGATGATACGAAGTTGTTCAGGGTGGTGAAAACCAGTGAGGATTGTGAGGCACTCCAAAGGGATCTGTCAAAGATGGGCGAGTGGGCGTCAACATGGCAAATGGGGTTCAATGTGGCCAAGGGCAAGGTGATGCACATTGGAGCCAAAAATCCTAAATATAAATACACGTTGATGGGGTCTGAACTGGCAGAGACTGAGCAAGAGAGAGATCTTGGAGTTGTAGTGGATAACTCACTGAAAATGTCGAGACAGTGTGTGACTGCAATAAAGAAGGCCAATGCTATGCTGGGGATTATTAGGAAGGGTATTGTAAACAGATCAGCCAATATAATAATGCCCCTATATAAATCAATGGTGCGACCTCATCTGGAATACTGTGTGCAATTCTGGTCACCACACCTTAAAAAGGATATTATAGCTTTGGAAAAAGTGCAGAAAAGAGCAACTCGAATGATAAAAGGGTTGGAACACTTTCCCTATGAGGAAAGGTTAAGGCGCTTAGGGCTCTTTAGCTTGGAGAAACGACGACTGAGGGGTGACATGATTGAGGTTTATAAGATTATGCATGGGAAAGAGCAGGTAGAGAAAGAGGTACTTTTCTCCCTTTCTCACAATACAAGAACCCGTGGGCACTCCATGAAATTGCTGAGCGGTCGGGTTAGAACGGATAAAAGGAAGTACTTCTTCACCCAAAGAGTGATTAACACTTGGAATTCACTGCCACAGGAAGTGGTGGCGGCTACAAGCATGGACGGCTTCAAAAGGGAATTAGATAAGCATATGGAGCAGAGGTCCATCAGTGGCTATTAGCCACAAGGTATAGATAGGGACTCTGGGGCAAGTGATGCTCTGTCATCTTGGTGCTTGGGGGGGGGGTCAACAGTGGGAGGGCTTCTGGTGTCCTGGCCCCACTGGTTGTCCTCCTGATGGCACTGGTATTTCTGGCCACTGTGGGATACAGAGTGTTGGACTGGATGGGCCTTTGGCCTGATCCAACATTGGCATCTCTTATGTTCTTAAGCCCCCCCCCCCGACTGCCTCTCAGTTCAGGGTAGGAAGAGAATGCAAGCAAAAAGACTTTGCAACGGAGGGCGGAGCACAGCCCCATCCTCACAGGCGAATCTTCCCTTGATGCCCGCGTCTGAGTCACAAGAAGGAAACACCGTCCCCTCTTTCCTCCACGGCCGCAGGCTCCTCCAGAACAACTCCTCCACTTGCAGCTGCTGGTGTGACCTTGGGTCAGTCACAAGTTCTTTCAGAGCTGTTCTCTCAGGGGCAGTTCTCAAGAGAGCACTCTCAGCCCCACCGACCTCACAGGATGTCTGTTGTGGGGAGGGGAAGGGAAAGGTGATTGTGAGCCGGTCTGAGACTCCGAGTGAAGGGCGGGGCATATATCCAATCTCTTTTTCTTCAGAGGATCTGGTTATTATGTGTCCTGAAGCACACACTCGGGTCCACTCAGGGCTTTTTTTGTAGAAAAAGCCCAGCAGGAACTCATTAGCATAATAGGCCACACCCAACAGCAGGAACTTATTAGCCTATTAGGCCACACCCCTGGCAGCACAGGTCATTAGCATATGAGGTCACACCCCCATGTTACCAGAAGTGTGCTCATCCAGCCACACCCACCTTTTGCTTCTCATTCTGTTTACCTTGTTTGTTGTCCAAACCCAGGGCCTTTTTTTGTAGCAGGAACTCCTTTGCATGTTAGGCCACCCCCCCCCTAATGTAGCCAATCCTAATGAGTTTCTGCTGTTGGGTGTGGCCTATTATGCTAATGAGTTCCTTCTGGGCGTGGCCAACTCAGGAGCCAGCCGGAACGCCGTTCCTATGCGTTCCTGCCCAAAAATAGCCCTGGGTCCACTCCCTTTTCAGACCCAGCCAGACAGAAACTTACACACAGACACACAAATCAGTTTCGGGCCCTTGTAACTTTTTCTCCATCTCTTTATTTGCATCACCATTTACAATACCTGGTGCCTCACTCTTGTGTCAACGAGACAGAATTCCAGCCGCAGGCAGCATTGCAGCTGGCGACCGCTGCAAGCCGGGGTCTGGAACGTCCCCTCTGCAGCTGTGGACGGCAAAAAGTAAGGGCCACTCATACCCCTCCTGCTACCGGCCTGCCAGCAACTTGGTCCGGTAGGAAGGAACCCAGACTTCTTCCCGGCCGGGAGGTCATCAAGATTTTGCCCTCCTCTTTCGTAAGCAGCTGGAAACCCCTCTTGTGGTCGCAGAGAGTTGTTTTTGTTTAAAAAGGCTTCGACCCATTAAGTGCAGTGAAGACGGAAATTATTTTGAACATGGATTATACAGAGACGGTCACAGATCTACAGCTCTAATAGCGTTAACATCAGTTGTTGGACATTTATGGGTAATGGTGGGTCCTGTCATTAACAGCTGCATATATTAGATACGTATATTGCTTTTTTGAAATGGAAAGACGCAAGTGAGATGCATCTGCTGCAGTCCTATGGCATCCGAACTCTCAAGGACGCGGCTCTTTGTACAGGGTGTTGGTGATAGCCTTCTGTTCCTAGCAGCCGTGGTTAACGGGCAAAACTTGACCTCGTGCTCCCATCAGGGTTTCTTCACTTTGGGCGATACCTTTTGGAGTTAAACATAACGGTTGTCAGACGGAGGACAGAAACAAATTCCCTTCTCGTTTAGTATCCCCAGCAAGTGGAAGGCATCTTCACCCAAACAAGAAGACAGAGAAATGGCAGCTGAATTAGATTTAAAAAAAAACACAACACTTTAAACCAGGGGTGTCAAACATGCGGCCCAGGGGCCGGATGAGGCCCCCGGAGGGTTTCCATCAGGCCCGCAATAGAACTGGTAATCTCCTGCTTCCAGTTCTTCTGTTGCTGCATCATAGCTTGCTTTGCCAGACTCTCTTAATCGCTCAGCCATTTCATGTTTTAACCTGGGTCCTAGACTCAGTAATCTGAGCATGAGATTTCTGTAGTGAATGTTGAGAAAGCAAAAGTAGGTTTGCAGCTTACAGATACACACGTGAACAGCATATTCAAGATTGCAACAGCACAGACATTTTGATGCAGTAATTCAGAGCAAGAGGTGTCAGTTATCAGATACTGCTAAATAAACAAAATATTTAAGCATGTTTTTAAGTAAAAAAAACCCAAACCCTTTGTGTTTGTGTCCTTTATAAAGTTTATATCTCCACTCCCTGGCATTACGTTTTATGACACACATGGCCCAGCCCACCAAGGTCTCATTTATGTCAGATCTGGCCCTCATAACAAATGAGTTCAACACCCCTGCTTTAAAGGATGACACATCCTTTGACAACACATGTCAGTGATAATGGCACAGGCTAGCCTGATCTCATCAGATCTTGGAAGCTAAGCAGGGCTGGCTCTGGTTAGTATTTGGATAGGAGCAGGGGTCATTTCGTAGAAAAAGAGGTATGGGAGCTCATTAGCATAACTGACTAGCGTAACTTATTTGCATATGACACACCCCATGGCATCACCAGAAGTGTGTCAGAAGGCAACGCCCACCCCTCAGGCTCCACTGGACTGTTTTGGATTGCTAGCTATTGGGGGGGGGGAAACGTGCAGATCTGTCCTCGCAGAGGAGGGAGAGCTTGTGCCTGAATAAAACTTGGCCTTAAAGGTGCCACTGGATTGTTTTGGACCGGGGGGCTCTGCAATTTACCTGGCTGCTTCTTGCTCTGACTGAGGGCTGCTGGGAGCAGTGGGCGGGGCTTGTTGCCTGTGCCCGCCCCCTGGGCTCTTTACTGCCGGAGCTCCGCTTCTGTGCGCTCCGGCAGGAAATGACCCCTGCCTATCCCTAAATTCAGCTACTGTAACAGAAGAATGGCGAGCAGCTAATATGACACCAATTTTTAAAAAGAGATCCAGAAGAGAAGCAGGTAATTACAGGCCAGTCAGCCTAAGGTCCGTCCCAGGCAAATTAGTAGAAACTGTCATCAAAGATAGAACGGTTAGGGACAAAGCTTGTGGAGGGGAAATCAGCATGGCTTCTTGCAAAGGAATGTTCTGCCTCACCAACCTTTTGGAGTTCATTGAAAAAGTGGAGGACTCTTACCATGGAAGCTCACTGGGTGACCCTGGGCCGGTCACAGGCTCTCAGCCAGACCTACCTGGACAGGGTTGTTGTGAGGATGAGGAGGATGGAAGCCATTCTGGGCCCCCAACTGGGGAGAAAGGGGCGGTAAAATGGAAGCAAGGACTCACCACCGTCAGTAGTCCACTTTTGGCCTTGTAGATCCGAGACTCGTGTGCCGTCGTGAAAACAATGCTGGATTCTTTCCCAGCCCCCAAGCTGTATATGAGGCTACAAAACACACACACACACACACATCAGGCTTTCTTCAGCGCAGCTCCAAAGCCATCGCGGCATCTTAAAGTCATGGAACTTGCCGGTTAGGGACTTAATGCCAAAGTTGCTTATACCGATCACAAAGAGCAATTTGTGCAGTGCAGGCACGGAACGGTAACTCACGGCCCTGATCAGGGGCACGGTACCCTCTGCACCCACATGACCAGGATGCCAAACACGGTTCCAGGCTCGTGAAGATTAAGTGGTGCTTGCCTTCTGATTGACACAGAAGTTCTACCCTGCCTGAGTTGTTCAGATGTGAAGGGAAACAAGCCGATGAGAAGGGCCCCTGCCCCAAGGAATTTACTATCTAAACCAGGGGTGTCAAACATGCGGCCCGGGGGCCGGATCAGGCCCCCAGAGGGCATCTATCAGGCCTGCAGTGGAATTGGCTGTCTTCTGCTTCTCCTTCCATTTCTGCTGCTGCTGCGTCATTGTAGGTTTGCAGCTTACAGATACACACCTGAACCAGTGTTCCCTCTAAGCTGAGTTGGTGTGAGCGGGCTCACGGTTTTTTAGCCTCCAGCTCACACATTTTTGCCTTAGTTCAGGAAGGATGGCTCCAGCGCAAACTGATTTATGCGGTAGCCAAATCACTCGCTCACAAATTTAATGCCAGGAGTTCAAAAAGTAGAACTTTTGCTCACAAGACTCCGCAGCTTAGAGGTAACTTTGACCTGAACAGCAGACTCAAGATTCCAACAGCACTGACATTTTGATGCAATAATTCAGAGCAAGAGATGTCAGTTATCAGACACTCTTAAATAAAACATTGCAAGAATGCTAATGTTCTAAGCATGTTTTTATTTTAAGTTTAAAAAAAAAACCCTTTGTGTTTGTGTCCTTTATAAAGTTTATATCTCCGCTACCTGGCATTACCTTTTATGACATGCATGGCCCGGCCCAACAAGGTCTCATTCATGTCAGATATGGCCCTCATAGCAAATGACTTCGACACCCCTGATCTAAACCTCAGCAGAGGGGAAGGGCACAAGGGATGGAGGAGAGGCACAAACCCTTTGGTGACCCATCTTTTCCTCTGCTGTGGCCTTTACCACTGGCCTGATAGAAGGACGTCTCGCTGATGGAGTTTTTCCCATTACTTCATCACCAATGCCTACAAAAGTTTCCGGTAATGTGTTTTGGTAGCAGACTGCTCTGGGGACCAAGCTACATGCTAGGTGGGAGATGGAGGCTGGATCTCCTAACGTTTCTTGCCCTTTAACAGAGGTACACCTATGCAGGGGGGGGGAACGACCTATGTGACTGCAGTGGGTGGACAGGAGGAGCCGATACAGTACAGGTGAGCCGCCGTGTTGCTCCGAAGCAACAGAACAAAGTTTGAGTCCAGTGGCACCAGTAACACCCACAAAGTTTAATTCTGGGTCTAAGCTTTCTAATGCACGTGAAACCTTATACCCAGGATTAAACTTTGTTGGTCTTAAAGGGGCCCCTGGACTCAAACTTTGGTCTACTGAGACAGGGCATTTTGTCATGCTGGGGAAATGGTGACCACATTTGGGGGGGGGGGGGACACAAGATCTCTTCCCCCTGGCCACTGCCTCATACAAAGCCCCCCCCCACTTCAATTTTGAGTGTTTTTTTTTTAATTGGGAGCTCCAAGTGCTGGTCTGTCGTAAAGGGTAGGGGAGTCGCATTCTTCAGATTCACAGGCGCTTTGCAGGGGGGGGAATGAAAACAAGAGCTTCGTTTCAAGTGCTGAAAGGAATTAGGGAGTTAACAGAAACTATTTGCGGAAGAGATGGCTTTTCAGAAGGGATTTGAGCTATGAGAGATCTGGGAAAGGCAGCCGGGGGAAGAGGGGGGAGCAGAAATTAGACTTGGGGGGGTTGCTGGCTTAATGTCTTCATAAACAGAAGAAGAGGAAGAAGAGGAGGAGGAGGATTGGATTTATACCCCACCCTTCACTACCGAAGGTGTCTCAGAGCGGTTTACAATCTCCTTTCCCTTCCCCTCCCCACAACAGACACCCTGTGAGGTAGGCAGGGCTGAGAGAGCTCTGACAGAAACTGCTCTTTTTTCCAGGACAGCTCTTATCAGAGCTACGGCTTGCCCAAGGGCATCCAGCAGCTGCAAGTGGAGGAGTGGGGAATCAAACCCGGTTCTCCCAGATTAGAGTCCGCGCACTTCACCACAACACCAAACTGGCTCTCTTAAGACTGATTCGCACGTGACAAAATCCTCCTTGGGCTGCCACCGAGCTTTTTAAATAGACCCACTCGGGGAATTCCATGCTTCCCAGGCATACAAAAGCCTGACTGGGACCAGGACACCCACCCGCAGGGAGAAAAGGGGGCTTCAGACTTAGAAGAAGAAGAAGAGATTGGATTTATACCCCGCCCTTCACTACCCAAAGGTGTCTCAGAGCGGCTTACAAACTCCTTTCCCTTCCCCTCCCCACAACAGACACCCTGTGAGGGAGGTGGGGCTGAGAGAGCTCTTGACAGAAACTGCTCTTTTTCAAGGACAGCTCATATCAGAACTACGGCTTGCCCAAGGTCGTCCAGCCAGGTGCAAGTGGAGGAGTGGGGAATCAAACCCGGTTCTCCAAGATTAGAGTCCGCGCACTTAACCACTACACCAAACTGGCTCTTATGGCTGCCACTGCTATTTGCTCTGCTGGGGAGACTGATAAGTGCTGAAGGCTGCACACAGATTTCCCCAACAGCTCATAGCAGCCCCCAGGGCCATTTTCAAGCTGGGAAAACAGTGCAGAAGAAGAGTTTGGATTTCTACCCCACCCTTCACTACCCAAGGGAGTCTCAGAGCAGCTTACAAACTCCTTTCCCTCCCCCTCCCCACAACAGACACCCTGTGAGGTAGGCGGGGCTGAGAGAGCTCTGACAGAAACTGCTCTCTTTCAAGGACAGCTCTTATCAGAACTACGGCTTGCCCAAGGTCATCCAGCCAGGTGCAAATGGAGGAGTGGGGAATCAAACCCGGTTCTCCAAGATTAGAGTCCGCGCACGTCACCACTATACCAGCCTGCCACCCCTTCTCCCCATGAGTAATGGCCCTGAGCTGAATCAGGTCTGTGCATGCTTGGAAACCGTGGAATTCCCAGAACACCCCTAACTTAAAGTCCTCATGGGCTTTGTAACGTGTGAATGGTTTGTACGAAATTCAACCCTCTCCAGCTGGCTAAGTAGTTCTTGTTTTCTCGAGGCAACCGATTTACAGCGCAGTAAAAAAATACCTAACCTGGGCGGCCCAGGCCAGCCTGACCTCAGAGACTAAGCAGGGTCAGCCCTGGTTAGTATTTGGATGGGAGTCTACTGAGGAGCTGCGGTGGCTCAAGTGGTTAAGACGCTGAACTGCAGGCTGTGGAAGGTCGGTAGTTCAGCAGTTCGAGACCCAAGTGCGCCGCATGATGGCGTGAGCTCCCGTCTCTAGTTCCAGCTCCTGCCAACCTAGCAGTTCGAAAGCAAGAAACTGCAAGTAGATAAATAGGGACCGCTTCGGTGGGAAGGGAACAGCGTTCCGTGCGCCTTGGTGTTTAGTCACGCCGGCCACATGACCACGGAAACGTCTTTGGACAGCGCTGGCTCTTCGGCTTTGAAACGGAGATGAGCACCGCAACCCTTGAGTCGGACTCGACTGGCTTTCGAGCAAGGGAACCTTTATCTTTACTACTGAGGAAGTCCAGGCAGAGGCAGGCGATGGCAAACTTAGTCTGCCCTGACTAAGAGATCTCGGGCGAGTCCAATCACCTCAGATCCTGGAAGTTAAGCAGATTCAGCCCTGGTTAGTCCTTGGACGGGAGACCACCAGGAAATAACCAGGCAATGCTCCCTCTAAGCTGTGGAGTCTTGTGAGCAAAAATTCTACTTTGGGAGCTCCCGGCCACTGCATAAATTAGTTTGCTCTGGAGCCATCTTTCCTAGGCTAAGACAAAAAAACTGTGAGCCGGAGGCTAAAGAACTGTGAGCCGGCTCACACTAACTCAGCTTAGAGGGAACACTGATACCAGGGTCTGTTCTCTCTCTCTCTCTCTTGTAAGTGTTTGAGGGGCTGTCAAGAGGAGGGCAGGGAGCTGTTCCTGTTGGCAGCAGAGGAGAGGACTCGCAAGAATGGGTTGAAATTAAGGGTGGGAAGCTACGCTCCCTCCAAGCTGTGGAGTCGTGTGAGCAAAAATTCTACTTTGTGAGCGACTGCCATTAAAGGTGTGAGCCAGCGATTGGGCTCCTGCATCAATTAGTTTGCTCTGGAGCCCTCCCTTCCTGAGCCGAGACAAAAACGTGTGAGCCAGAGGGTAAAAAACTGTGAGCCAACTCACGCTAACTCAGCTTAGAGGGAACACTGGTGGGAAGGTACCGGCTGGATATTAGGGAAAACCTCTTTACAGTCAGAGTTGTGCATTGGTGGAATCAGCTGCCCGGGGAGGTGGTGAGCTCCCCCTCCCTGGCAGTCTTGAAGCAGTGGCTGGACAGACACTGGCCAGGGATGCTCTAGGCTGATCCTGCACTGAGCAGGAGGGTTGGACTAGATGGCCTCTAGGCCCCCTCCCAGCTCTGTGATTCTATTCTATGAGGGTCGTGACGCGGAGACAGGCCAATGGCAAACCACCTCTGCATGTCCCTTGCCTTGAAAGCCCCAAGGGGGCGCCATAAGGCAACGGCGCCTTGATGCCCCCACAAAAAGGGCAAGCCACACACAAGAGGTTTCTTCTCTGGCCACACAGTTCAGCAGCAGAATGCTCACCTCCCCTGGGCGACTGCAATGTCCTCCTTGTTGGCCGCCAAGCAGAGTTTGGTGGCCGTCTCAAACAGCTTTTCACACTGCAGAATGATGTCTCCCTGGAGGCGAGAAGAGAGCCCGTCCGTTTGGCTCAGCACAGCCGCAAGAAGAAACAGCCACCGCTCCAGAAAGGGGCTCCGGCAGAGGTTCCCATTCCAGAGATGTGCCCCCTCCCCCCACCCCCAGCCTTCAACCACTGGGATCAAGAGCAGATTTATCATTTTAAGGAGGGCACAGGGGTCAAGAGGTTGCCAGGAAACTACACAGTGCTATGGAGTAGTTTTATACTCACTTGAACACATGAAGCGGCCCTCCTACCGAACCAGGACCCCCCTTGGTCCATCAAGTTTAGTATTGTCTACTCAGACCGGCAGCAGCTCTTTCCCATCACCTCCTGCTAAATCCTTTAGCTGGAGATGCCGGGGATTGAACTGGGGACCTTCTACATGCCAAGTAGGTGCTCTCGCACTGAGCCACGGCCCCTCTTTTCAGCTCTCCAGGGTCTCAGTCAGAGGTCTTTCCCATCAGCTCCTGCTAAATCCTTTAGCTGGAGATGCCGGGGATTGAACTGGGGACCTTCTACATGCCAAGCAGGTGCTCTCGCACTGAGCCACGGCCCCTCTTTACAGCTCTCCAGGGTCTCAGTCAGAGGTCTTTCCCATCAGCTCCTGCTAAATCCTTTAGCTGGAGATGCCGGGGATTGAACTGGGGACCTTCCACATGCCAAGCAGGTGCTCTCGCACTGAGCCACGGCCTCTCTTTACAGCTCTCCAGGGTCTCGGTCAGAGGTCTTTCACATCACCTACTGCCTGGTCCTTTTAATTGGAGGTGCCAGGTATTGAACCTGGGACCTTCTACATGCCAAGCAGGGGCTCTTGCACTGAGCCACAGCCCCTCTTTACAGCTCTCCAAGGTCTCCGACCAAGGTCTTTCACATCACCTCCTGCCAAATCCTTTAACTGGAGATGCTGCTGGGGATTGAGCCTGGGACCTTCTGCAAGCCAAGCAGGTGTTCTCCCACTGAGTCACGGCCCCTCTGCCCCACGAAAGTATTACTGGAGTGATCCATACAACCACCCTGTAGGGTAGGTCATTGCATGATTTTCAGCAATGCTGATGGGGAGCCAAAGTGAGCGGTACCAGCTTGCTTCGATTTGTGCCTGAAGTGAGATCTGAATGGGAGGATTTCCTGCCGCTACCCGTTGCCATCCTTGGCCCTAATGCTGGAGAACTCGCTGGAATGCAGCAGCGATGGAAGCACTCTGCATGCACTCAGAGATGCTTATCACATATCCCGAGCCCTGGCACGGAGACAATTCACAAAGCTGAGCCCCAGCTCGGATAGGTTAGTATTTGAAGCGAACTGACAACAAGCAGAAGGTCTCCCTGCAAACAGCCTGTTCAGATGTGACCTGGCATTGCATCCAGACGCAGGCAGCTTGGCCGGGATTCGGTTACCTTTTGCTGCTTACATTCTTCCGCCACGTGGACGACTAAGATTCCGTCACTCAGACCGCTGACGGAAAAACCTTGGAAGGGAAGCGCAAAAGTCTCAGTGCAGGATGAAGTCTTTATCAATCAAACGCAAAGTGTCTTTTTGTTTGTTTCGTTTTATCGCCAGGGTAACCAGCCAACCCAGCAAGAGAGCAGACTGCTGCCAAACATGCCAAGCTCTCTCCCTCTCCCTCCTGTCTTCCTCCCACAGATTTGGAGAACTGCATGTTTAAGAAATCCCCCCCCCTCCGTGCAACATTCGTCAGACCCAGGTTTTTGGCTCATTTAAGTATACAAGAAAATCCTCCTTAGCCTGAATGGGATTTCTAACGGGTTTGTTTCAGGTTTTTAAATTGCTGTGCCCTTTTAAGTCATTATCAGTTTGAATTATGGTTTCGTTAGTTGTGGTGGCTCAAGTGGTTAAGATACTGAACTGCAGACCGGAAGGTCAGTAGTTCGGCAGTTCGAGACCCGGGTGCCGCATGATGGAGTGAGCTCCTGTCTCTGGCCCCAGCTCCTGCCAACCTAGCAGTTCGAAAGCAAGAAATTGCAAGTAGATAAATAGGTACCGCTTTGGTGGGAAGGTCACAGCATTCTGTGCGCCTTGGTGTTTAGTCATGCTGGCCACGTGACCACGGAAACGTCTTTGGACAGCGCTGGCTCTTCGGCTTGGAAACGGAGATGAGCACTGCATCCCTAGAGTTTGATTTGACTGGCTTTTGAGCAAGGGAAACCTTTACCTTTACCTTTGTTGTTTGAGTTGTATACTCTTTTATGGTCTGAGGTCTTCAGGAATTTAAAAGGAAGTTGTAAACAGAAACTCCACGACATGTGCAGAATCCGGGGGGCCTTTGATTCGTTCCCCACACATGCACATCCTCAGCAGTTTCCCAAACAGTCTTCTCACAGGGAACTGTGCCCAGGTGAAGCTGTCTGGCACACAGCCTCCGCACGTGACGGAGGATTCCGGGGAGCCTTCTAGGGCCTGTACATCCCGTTCACAGAGATGACAACTGGCCAGCAGGGTCTCCCGGTTACCCCATGCAAACGGAAAGCATGCTCTAACTCAGGGGTGTCAAACATGCGGCCCGGGGGCCAGATCAGGCCCCCGGAGGGCTTCTCTCAGGCCCGCAGTGGAACTGGCTGTCTTCTGCTGCTTCTTCCAGTTCTGCTGCTGCTGCGTCATCGTAGGATTGCAGCTCACAGACACACACCTGAACAGCATACTCAGGATTGCAACAGCACAGACATTTTGATGCAATAATTCAGAGCAAGAGGCGTCAGTTAGCAGACACTATTAAATAAACAAAATATATCTAGGGTGCTCATGTTTTAAGCAAGTTTTTATTTTAAGTAAAAAAAAAAAGAAACCCTTTGTGCTTTTTATCAAGTTTATCTCTCTGCTCCCTGGCATTACGTTTTATGACACACGTGGCCTGGCCCAACGAGGCCTCCTTTATGTCAGATCCGGCCCTCATAACAAATGAGTTCGACACCCCTGCTCCAACTGAACATCTGGGGGAAGATGTGACTGTCTTTGAGGATGATGCGTGCCACCGTCAATCCTCTCCTTGAAGAACCCCAGATCAGCTTCCAAGAGGCCCCTGCTCCCCCTCTCAGGTGTGGACACGCAAAGCTGTTTGGGGCCCCGTCAGCCCACTGGGGGCCCTCCCTCCCCAGCTCAGTACCATCTACACTGAAAGCAATTTCCCAGCACTTGCTTCCTGGGAACTCCCCGGGGACAGAATCAGGGGACTTCTGTAAGCAACTCATGTGCTCCAAGGCACGGCCATTCACCCATGGCCGGTTCTCGGTTTTCGTGGGCCCCAGGCAAACAGTTCCCAGCCCCTCCCCCTGCCCTCCTCTGCCCACCACCAGGCACTCGTGTCCTCCTCCTGTCCTCCCAACTCACCCACCCCCTGCATGGCACGCCCTTCCCTTGTCTGCTCACAAGGCCTCCTCCCACTGCCCCAGGGGCACCGGGCAGCACATGAAGCAGGGAGTGTGGGTGAGGAGGCAGGGCTAGCCAGGGAGCGGGCAGGGGGTGCCGGTGGCCGTGGGCTGCCCCAAAAAGCCTGGGCCCCGGCAGCTGCCCCAACCGAGGGGGGTCTGCTGCCACCAGCCCTGCCCTCACCACACCACCAGCTGAAGAGCCACTTGGCCCAAATGCCTCAGCCCCCGGGGCGCAGTTGGGGACGCCTGCCCCCCCCTCTTACCTTTGATCATGTTGTACTCCACCTTCTCCTTGATCTTGGCCGCCTCCACCAAGTAAGAGGAAACCCGGGTCAGGACCAGCAGCCGGTCCCTGGGCTTGAAGTTTTTCTGTTCGAACTTCACCACGGGGGCCACGTACTGAAAGCCACCAAAGGCATCCCCTTAGCAGGCCCCGGAAGACGCTTCGGGGAGCACCACACTAGCAGCACATTGCAGCGTGGCACCCCGAGAGAGCCAGGGGTTCAGTGTTCCCTCTAAGCTGAGTCAGGGTGAGCCTAGCTCACAGTTTTTTAGCCTCCAGCTCAAGCATTTTTGTCTCGGCCCAGAAAGGACGGCTTCAGAGCAAACTAATTTATGCAGCAGCCCAATCGCTCACTCACAACTTTAATGCCAGTCGTTCACAAAGCAGAATGTTTGCTCACAAGACTCCACGGCTTAGAGGGAGCATCGGTTGGCATCTCTCGCCCCCACGGTGCCCGCCATTTCCCCTCTGTACCTTAATCTTCTCGTGGCGGATCAGCTGCAGGACTTTGGTGTGTAAATCGTCCTCCTCTAGGAAAGGAACAGGAACGATCATCACAGAGGGTGGGGGCACACCCACTTATAGAGTGCCCAAGGAGGGGATCCGTGGCAAACTCCCCCCCCCCGTCAATGCCAGCAAGGTCACCCAAAAGACCCATTCTCCCAAGACCAAATTCTCAACAAGTCCTGTTGTTTGTCCATCAACTACTTACTCATCCTGGTCTCGACAAACGGCTCGGGCACACTGTCGGCATAGCCCTCTTTCTTCCCACGGAAAATGTTGCTCGCAAGCACCTTCTGCTGCATCTGTTTTGGGAAATCAGAGGAAACAGGACGCCGAATGAAATTCTGACACAAGAACATCGGGACCAAACCTCAAGCGACCCTGGAGACCTGTCACTGGACCTCAGGTGAGCACTTTAGCTACAAAAATGAGTCCCAAGGACCCCACGAAGTACTTCACAACGGAAGTGCAAATCACCCCTACCCATTTCTTACTCACAAAGTGGAGCGCAATATCCGCTAGCAAGCGCTTCCTGAGTCACTAAAATTTGTCAATATATATTTAAACTGGAGTCTTAGCTTTCCCCAAGAAACCCTGGGAGTGATAGTGCAGTGAGAAAGCCAAGTTTCAGCACCAGGGGTCATTTCCTGCAGGAGCGCACAGGAGCGGAGCTCCGACAATAAAGAGCCCAGGGGGCGGGGCACATGCAACAAGCCCCACCCCCTGATCCCAGCAGCCCTCAGTTAGAGCAAGAAGCAGCCAGGTAAGTTGCAGAGCCCCCCCCCCCGGCCCCCTGGTCCAAAACAGTCCAGTGGCACCTTTAAGACCAAGTTTTATTCAGCTACAAACTCTCCCTCCTCTGCCAGGACAGATCTGCACGTCCCCCCATCCCAACAGCTAGCAATCCAAAACAGTCCAGTGGAGCCTGAGCAGTGGGTGTTGCCTTCTGAAACACTTCCGGTGATGTCAGGGGGTGTGGCATATGCAAATAAGCTTTGCTAATGAGTTATGCTAATGCGCTCCTGCACCTCTTTTTCTACGAAATGACCCCTGTTCAGCACAATCCCCGACTCTTGTCTGAATTGCTAGCCCCAGGATTCACTCCCGATACCAGGAGAACATCCGAAGAAGTATCTGAAGAAGCGAGCAGCGACTCACGAGAGCTCCTCCCCTGTCACACATTTTGTTAGTCTTGAAGGGGCTCCTGGACTCTGGCTCTTTTCCACGGCAGGCACCTTTGAGGAAGTCTTGAGTCCAGATTTGAGTCCAGTGGAACCTTTAAGACCAAAGCAGTGTGCATGCACACCAAAGCTTATACCCAGAGTAAAACTTTGTTGGTCTTATAGGTGTCCACTGGACTCGAACTTGGTTCCGCTGCTTCAGACCAACGCAGCGCCCCCCCCCCGACTGTATCCATATCCCAGGATGCAGTTTAGAATACACTGAGTTATAACAAGTGTCTCTGGTCCATCGCAGAGCACCTGTTCCATGCTGCTTGGTTAGATCGCCAAACTCCAGGCGCGGCCTGGAAATCTCCTGGAATGACAACGGATCTCCAGACGACAGAGATCGGTTCCCCTGGAGAAAAGGGCTGCTTTGGAGGGTGGGCTCTTGTCATGATCTGGGCTGTGCTATCAGAGGCCTACTAGGCCCAGGGAGCCTGGCTAGCTGTAGGTGAGGCTGGGCCTACAACTCCCAGAAGCCCCTGAGAGGTTTTGGAGCCAAAATTGACCAATAGGAAAAGAGGAGGGCTTGGAATAAAAGATCTGGAGCAGCAGGAAAAGCTGTTCTTCTTCCCAGAGGGCAGAGCCAGAAGGAAGGCTGCTGCAGGGAAGAAACACTCATCCTGAGGGAAGGGTGAGTAGTCTAAGGCCACTGCAGATAGTGAGCTAGGGACAGTATATATTTAGACACGTTAGGGCATTTGATTTCTTTTATTATCACCCACTTACTGTTATTCTGTACCTTGTTTGTTTGACCTCCTATAAAATAAAACTTTCCCTTGTTGTACGCTGCCTGGTCCTCACGCCTATTATTCGGCCAAAAGGGAGGTCTGAAGGTCTTGGGAGGGTGCTCTGGGCCTTCTCAAGGGATCCTAAATCCAGAGTGGTGGCAGCGTCAGGTGACACCCCGCCTGAGCCATGACAGCTCTATGACAACCAGGATGGTGAGAGGGTTGGAATCCAAGTCTTAGGAGGAAAGGCTGAAAGAGCTGGGTCTGTTTAGCCTGGGAAAGAGAAGGCTTAGAGGGGACATGATTGCTGTCTTCAAGTATCTGAAGGGCTGTCGTGTAGAAGATGGAGCGGATCTATTCTCTCTTGCTCCGGATTGCAAGACTATATCTAATGGGTGGAAATTACGAGGGAGTTGTTACCGGCTAAATATCAGGAGGAACTTCCTAACTGTCAGAGTGGTTGAGGAGTGGAACAGACTACCTCAGGAGGTGGTGGGTGCTCCTTCGCTGGAGGTTTCCAAGCGGAGGCCAGACGACCATCTTTCGGGTATGTTGTAGGGCTATTTTTCGGCTGTGCTCCTGCAGAGTGCAGGGGGCTGGACTAGATGACCTGCAAGGTCCCTCCCAACTCTAACATTCTATGATTCTTTCCTCCCCAAACCCTGCCCAGGCTCCACTCCCCAAATCTCCACGAATTAACCAAGCCACAGTTGGGAACCCCACTGATGAGCCACCATCAGCTCCCATGTGCCCATGGGCCAAGAACTGGGCTCCCGCGCAGCATGATGCCCAGGCAGGCCAGCATCTCTGCCTCCAGAGTATTTGCAAACCCAGGACTTACTTGTGCTTTCCTCTCCGCTGTGATGCTGCGGCAGTATTTCCTCACGAGGGTCCTAATGCAGAGCTTCTTCAGGTGCTCAGAAGTCTTTGTAGGAGGGAGAAAGAGCGGTCGTTTGATACGGGAACTGCCAGAGGCCAAGGCTGTGTGTGCAAAAGGGCCCCAGTGCAATCCCCGGCAACTCCCAGTAAAAAGCTTGCAGAGTCCGGTCCTGGGCCCACAAAGTTCAGGGCTCTCCGGGCTCCGGCCAGCAGAGGGAGGTCTTCCCAGCACCTCCGTCTCACGATCCTTTCAGCTGGAGATGCCAGGACTGAACCTTAGACCTCTGGCATGCAAAGCGGTGGTCCTTTCCCGAAATATGTGATGTTGTCTTATACCAGGGACAATGCTCCTTCTAAGCTGTGGAGTCTTGTGAGCAAAAATTCTACCTTGTGAGCTACTGGCATTAAAGTTGTGAGCCAGCGGTTTGGCCGCTGCATCAATTAGTTTGCTCTCTGGAGCCCTCCTTCCTGAGCCAAGACAAAAATCTGTGAGCTGGAGGCTAAAAATCTGCGAGCTAACTCACACTAACTCAGCTTAGAGGGAACACTGCAATGCTCCCTTTAAGCTGTGGAGTTTTGTGAGCAAAAATCCTACTCTGTGAGCTGCTGGCATTAAAGTTGGGAAGCGAATGATTTGGCTCCTGCATAAATTAGTTTGCTCTGGAGCCATCCATCCCGAACCAAGACAAAAATGTGTGAGCCGGAGGCTAAAGAACTGTGAGCTAGCTCGCACTAATTCAGCTTAGAGGGAACACTGACCAGGGAAGCCACTGGGCCAATAGCTCAGCCACTGTCTCCTCCAACTGCATGCAAAGCAGATGCTCCGCCACTGAGCCACGGCACTCCACGCAAAGCGCATGGACACGTGAAGGCTGGTATGTTCATGTGATTTAAGTAATGAGGCTGTTGATGATGTGATACAGCAAGAACCCGCCCGCCTTTCAGTAGGACCCTTGGTTCCTACCTCTTGCAAGAGCGCAGGTGGCTGAAGCCAGGTTTGGTCCAAGACGGTCTTCGGAAGATGCTCCCTCAGCTTCATAATGTAGGTGTAGCGCGTGAGCTTCACGTAGTCCTCGTTTTCAGGGTTCAGGGGCTGCTTTCGGTTTATGAAGCCTTTTATGTACCTGCCGGAAGGGAAGTGCCTCAAACTCAGGACTGGCTGACCCACAATCCCCCCCCCCCAAACACACACACACACGCTTTCCAGAGGAGGGACAAACGGGACTGGACAAATTGCTATGACACCACCCATCAGCACAGTATTTTCCAGCTGGCAGAAGGGAAAGTATTCTGAACTAAAAAAGTAAAGTGCGCATGCAGACATGAAAACAGTCCTTTTCTCCCTTTCTCATAAGAAGAAGAACTCGTGGGCACTCCATGGAATTGCTGAGCGGTTGGGTTAGAACTCTTTGACATCAAAGAAAGCCTGTAATGCGCCGTCCGGCCAGGCGGTGGCAGTGCTGCGTTGCAACGTGAAGCAGTCCTGGAGAAAAGCTGACGACATCAAGCCACGCTGAGGGAAAATGCCGTTGGAACATGTCTGACCCTACAGCTGAACAAACTCCCCGTCGGCTGCGAACGTGTGTGATTTAAAGATTTATATGTTGTCTTCCCTTACCCCTTTGAATCATTGTTAGTCCCGTGTGTATATGAGTAACTGTAAATCGCTCAGAGCCAGCAAGCTCTGCAGGATTGAGCGATTAATAAATTGAAAGATTATTATTATTATTATTATTATTATTATTATTATTATTATTATTATTATTATTATTATTATAAGTCCTTCTTCACCCAAAG